TGGCCGTAAAAAGAGCTAGAATTGTCTCAATACATTTCTTACCGATACCCGCGTGCCAGCTCAAGCCCTCCTTCCCCCAAGGCCTGTGGGCTGCCATGCCCAATGCCCCTCACCTTCCCCACACCAGAAACACAGAGCAGGGGTTTCCTCTCCAGAGCCCCCAACCAGCACAGCCACCCCATGTGCACATAGAGGACAACCCATTGTGCACATCTCCTTTGGAAAAAGGGAAACACTGAGGAAAGTGCTTAACCTATGGGTGCGTCAAACATGGGCGCTAGAGCCTGTGAGCGGACTCCAAGCTGAAGCTGACTGGTGTTTGTGTTCCTCTGCTGAAACATAACTCACCCATGTTAGTCCCACCAGCTGCTTTCCATCTTCCAAACAGAAGGATCACTCTGTGCTATAAACTTCAGCTTTCTGAACACAAGCATCATCTGTTAAGCCAAAAGCTTTAGAGAGAATCCCTGAACACTAGGCTGGGAGTCCAAGCAGCACAGGCCATATCTTTCCCATGTCAGCAGGCACCTAATGTATTTTTAGTGCTGTCAGAAACAAACCACTCCTTGATATTCCAGAGAAGGAGAGGGAGAAAAAGTCATCTAGCAGTGGTGGTGAAGCTAGTATTTTACAAGATCCTTCCGAGAAGTCTCCAGCCTCCTGGGGGAGCTTGTCAACATCTCCCACATTAAATGAAAGTCACTTTAACATCCACAGGGGTTTTAAAGAAAGCTGGAACATATCAAAGCTGCTGGGATGGCGAGCTTCAGAACGTGCACAATACATCAACACTTACACACACTAAATCCTCACCAGCCTCCAGGGAGCTAACAGCCCCCCTCACCCTCCCCTCCCTGGAGTAAGCTCTTTCCTAACGTAGGTCTCAAATGAACTGCTAATCTTCTCTCCAAACTTGGCAGCTGTCCTGCGTGCACCCAAAACCCCCTGTGCTTAAATCCTTCTGTCGTTCTTGTAGATCATTTTTCCTTTAATATTAAGAAGTGTTTCCTCCAACCCTACACAAAGACGTCACTGTTAGCACACATAAGAGCAGCACCATGTTGCTTGGTTCACTGGATTTCAGAGGCTTCTTGGTGGGCAGTGATGTCCAGGGATACTGCACCCATGGCATGCCGGGAAGCGCTGCCCAGACAGGCTCTCCCCATGGCAGTCAGCAGCCAGACATGGTTTGGTGGCCCCAGTCATGCCCACACCATCCCTCAGAGCAGGGTGGCATGTATGCTGATGTCCACTACCATGATTTGTAACTCTCATGGTTTATAGTTTTCATATATATATATATATCTCATATATATATATATACATATATGTATACTCCCAGGAGAAATCTTATGCTCAACAAGCTCCTATAGCCAGCAGGAGCTTCCAAACCAGTCCCTCCCAGCACATCTGGTGGTTTCCTGTGCTCAGATCAGCTTAAATCTCTGACATGGGTTTTCGCTGCTCGGAAGGACTGCAGGAAACTTTCCCCTTCACCAGGCAGACTCTGGCCTGTAGTGTTGAAGTCACGGTGCCAACAGCTATTTGTCACTTTTGCTCCAGCCGATGGTTTTCCAGGGTTGCTGTTCAGCCTTGCCACAAGAATTCACATCAAACACCCGCAAGACAGCTGTGGTCTTACGCTGTCAAGGTCCTTACAATGGTTGCCAAAAAGGTAGTTTGGGATAGAGTCAGAAATAGTTCCAAACTCCAGCTGAGGACAAGGTAATAGTTTTCCATGCAGTTCTAAATGTTTTAAATGAAAAACATTTTCTAAGAGCACCAAAATGCCGATGCTTCATCCTTCCTAGGAGCAGTCACTTGTCCATTAGCTGTTCTTGACCATAGCTTTTGTTTACTGCTTGAAACTGGCGAAAGAGTTTCCCCAGGACACTAATTTGCTCCAGCATGAACAGCAGCATTCCCTACTCTTTCACCTGCACTGTGATGTGCCACCCAAGGAGCTGGTACAAGGATGATGGAAGTCTGATAACACCTGATAGCTCTGCAGAGACCCAGTGCCTGAGTTGAGCTGCTGAGTCTTTGCTCAACGCGAGGGGCCATTGACAACACTTTGGAAAGGGAAAGCAGGGAAGTAACTTTGGCAACATAACTTGTACGCTTGGATTGCTGATGCACATGAGTTCTGCCAGAGCTGTTGGTCAGAGGGTGCTGCTGCTGCAGTGCTGTGATGGGTACCCATCCTTCATGGTATTTGTCTATTGAGGCTGTTTTCATGCTGCTCTGTGTTCTTCATCACCCCCTGCATTAGCAGTGAGGGGAACAAGATCTTTTTCCTCTCTGCTACAGCATGAAGTGATTTTGAATTATTCATTCTCCAAGTCTTCCTCTTAAAATGTCTAGAGATGAAGATGAGTGACAACAACTGCCCCAGGATGCAATGCTGGAACACTCTGACTGATCACCCTGTGCAGTTTCACCCATCTGTTACCTCTGCCATTCCTTAAGCACAACTTGCAAGTGCCCATCACTCACGTAGATCATGCCACGCAGTTGTGTTCAGAGTGGCTGTGTCCCTGTGCCTCACTGCACAGGCACTGAAATGCTCCAGTGAAGAGAGGAAGGGCCTCTCATGTAACTGCATCCAGGAGAAGGGCTTTAGGCTGAGCCTGATGATGCACAACTAAACTGTCCCTGTGGTCACCTAGTGCAGAACCGTGTCCCACAGTGAGCGCAGCTCCAGAACAAGACTTCTTTTACTAAAAGGAGCCCCATTTTCCAACCTGAGCATTCATACTCTGCTTCCAGCCATCTGTACTCCCTGCAGCCATCCACATTGTTCCTTCATCCTTGGTACACCCACTTCCCAGCTGCTTCAGGAGGCTGGAGAAATGCATCAAGGCCTTGGAGTGCTATACACTGGTCCCTCAGGGGGTATTTCTGATATCTGAGCTTATGAAACCTGCCAATTTCCTGGCTTTCAGCAACCTGTTCTAGTGGAAGGTGTCCCTGCCTATGGCAGGGGATTGGAACTGGATGAGCTCTAAGGCCCCTTCCAACCCAAACCATTCGATGATTCTGTGATTTCAGCTGCAAACAAACCACGTTGTAAAGCTGCTTCACCTGCCTGTCAGACCTACAAATCAAGGCTGTGCACAGGGGAGACAGATTTACTACTGACAAACCTCCACCCACCCTGCTCAGCCCAGCAGCTCTTACCAGGGGCTGGAAATTAATAGGATTTTTAATTGCAGCTGCATTTTTAACTCCTCATGCCCAAATGGAAGAGCATGCACATGCTTCACAGAGGAGGATCTGCTTTCTTGGGGTGAGGCAGGCTGGATGGGAATTATCAGCGGCAGGAAAGGGGACTTATACCTTGCCCCTCATCCAGCAGTGTGGGCAGCAAGCTCTGGTCAGAGGGGTGAGTCCACCAAAACCTGAGCTCACTAGGCTCACCCAGTGGGTGCTGTGAGACACCAGTGCCCATCCTGCTGCTGGGGTCTCTCACACAGCACCCTCCATGGGCACCCACTGCCCAAAACCTTCTCCTGGCCCTTTTTGGGTTGAATCTACCACACCAGTTCCACACATCCAGGTGCATATACCTCATCCAAGACTGTGCTGGTTTTGACTGGGATGGAGTTATTTTCCTTCCCAGTAGCTGGTGCAGTGCTGTGTTTTGGCTTCAGTCTAAGCACAATGCTGGTAACACACTGATGGTTTAGTTGTTGCTCAGTAGCACTTACCCCAGTCAAGGATGTTCCAGTCTCATGCTCTGCCAGTGAGGAAGGACACAAGAAGCTGGGAAGCAGAGACAGGACACCTCACCCAAACTAGTCAAAGAGGTATTCCACACCACAGCACGTCATGCCCAGTATAGAAACTGGGGGCAATTGCTGCTTGGGTCAGGCTGGGTATCCGTCAGCAGGTGGTGAGCGGTTGTATTGCGCATCACTTGTGTTTGTTGTTTGTTTCCCTTTCCCCTTTTAGTTTTGTATTCTTTCCCCTTGTTATTTCCTTTATTATCATTAGTAGTAGTAGTTTTATGTTATATTTTAGTTATTAAATTGTTCTTATCTCAACGCATGGGGTTTACATTGTTTCGATTCTCCCCATCCTGCCTTAGGGGATACAAGGTGTGAGCAAGCAGCTTTGTGGTGCTTAGTTACAACAACAAAGATCCAGTCTAAAACTTCCCTTGGCTTTAGATAATACCGATCAAACCCACTTATTAGAGGAGCCCAGAGAAGAAACCACCTCTTCCTCACACACCTACCAGCACCTATGGGAAGGCATCTGCTGCCCTTAAGCTTACCCAGCACTAACAGCTTTCTAGTTTGGGTTTATCACCAAAGATAGACATAGAATCGCATAGAATCATAGAACGATTTGGGCTGGAAGGAACGCAGGAAAGTCTCCCCCATCTTTCTTATAGACCTCTTTTAAGAGCCGAAAGGCTGCAGGAAGGTCCCTAAAGAGTGTTCAGTGTTCTCCGGGCTGAAGCATGTTTCCTCCTTGCATCTCTCTGTCGAAGATGAAGACCCATCCCGGGGACAGTGCCTGCGCTCTGAGCCGCACCGCTCCTCCCCGGCGGGGCTGGGTAGAGCAGCGTCGGATCTGGCTCGCTCGGACCTCTCCTCTCCGGCAGCTGGGGCTCTGAGGTAGCTCTGAAGGGGCTGAAGCTGCCCTGAGGGAGCTCCTGTGGGGCTGAGGAGGGCTCTGAAGGCACCGGGAGCGGCTCCGAGGGGCTGAGGTAACGCTGAGGTAACGCTGAGGCGGCTCCGCGCGCCCGCCCCGTTCCCGCCCTCCATCCGGCCCCGCCCTCACGTGCCTCCACACCTGCGCCTCCACCGCGGCCCCCCCGCCACCACAACAAACCCCGCCCCTCCTCCTTCCAGCCAATGAGCGTGAGGAGCCGCTGACCAGCTGCCAATAGGAGCGCGGGGCCCACCCCGCCCTCTCCCCCCCCCCTCTCCCTCCAGCCACCACCCCCTATTTGAGGCGCGTTGCGCGGCCGCGCGCCCGCAGAGGCGGCGGAGGAGGGCGCGGAGCGGGGCCGGGCAGGGGGGGGTCAGCGCTCAGCCGCGGTGCCGGGGTACGGACGGGTTCCCCAGCGCAGCCCCGCAGGGCCCTCGGGGGAGCGGGAGCTCCCGTGCGGCCGTACCCACATGGAGGCTTTCCCCGGCGGCAAGCTGGAGCAGCACCGGCACCTCCCGGCCGTGGAGTGCCTGCCGGGCGCCCGCTACGGCGGCCGGAGCCACAGCGCCTGCGGGAACGTGTTCAACTCCTGGAACGATTACCTGGGGCTGGCCACGCTCATCACGAAAGCCGTGCGTCCCGGTAAGGGCTTCGGCGCCGAGCCGCCCTCGGTGGTGGTGGCGGCTGCTGTGCCGCCGGCGGAGGAGGAGGAAGAAGAAGAGGAAGAGGAGGAAGAAGCGGCGGGGCCGTACTTCGAGGGCGCGCTGGACTTGCACGACCTGGACCTGTGCGGGCATCATCACCACCACCACCACCATCATCACCACCACAGCGAGGGGCTGCTGGAGGAGCGCTTCGCCGACTTCAGCCCGTTCCCCGGTCGCGGCGGTCCCGCCGCTGTGGTGTTGGACTGCTCGGGGGAGCTGCCGGTCCGGGAGGGCTCCGGCCACGCGTGGGGCGGTGTAGTGGTAGCGGGGCGGCTGCCGGCGCACCCGCGGGCCGCCTCTCGCCTGCTCAAGCCCGAGCTGCAGGTCTGCGTCTTCTGCCGGAACAACAAGGAGGCCGTGGCTCTCTACACCACCCATATCCTCAAGGGACCCGACGGCCGCGTCCTGTGCCCGGTGCTGCGCCGCTACACCTGCCCCCTCTGCGGCGCCAGCGGCGACAATGCCCACACCATCAAGTACTGTCCCCTCTCCAAAATGCAGGCGGCCCGGCAGCTCAAACACGCCCGGACCGCGCTGGGCAAGAAGGGCCGTTAGGTGCCGGGACCCCGACGGCCGCCTCCCGCTCCTGCCCATTGGGGTTTTGGTCTTTGGAGTCTTCCCCCCCACACACACACACACCACCTCACACGTCGGTGTATTGAAGGCCGGGCCGGGGTCGGTGCGCGCTGGTCGGTGCGGAGCCCGGCGCGGGGCCGCGGGGATCGCGCAGCGTAGACGCACTGTGTTTGGTTATTGTAAGAAAAAAAATATATATATATGTGATTTTTACGGAAACGGAGTTACGGGGGGATCCAAGGGAGAAGGGAGCCCCCGTCCCGAACTGCTCTGTGCCGTCGGGGGTCCGTTCCGTGCCGCGCCGTTGGGACGGGAGGAGAGGGAAGGAGGGAGAGCTGTCGCGATGCCTGCTAATAGCCGGGTGTGTAGTGGGGTACAACACCCTTCGGGTCTGGAAGCGAGCAACCGAGCGGTTCCCTTTGCCGATCTTAAACACCGGGAAGCCAATCGTCATCAAACCTGCGCTCGCTAATGAAACACCCCGTTTCCTTCCCGAAATGGGCACAGACCCCCTGGCACGGTGGGAGAGCAGCGCCGAGCCCCGCAGCACCCCTTAAGCCGTCACACTCGTGAATCCCTGTGTCTGGTGTGCGGCTTGAGGGGAGGAAGCATCGAAGTGGTGTTTGGAAGTGTAATGACTGTGGGCTGAGGGGCAGTCTGAGTCCTCTCTGCCGAAGGAAGGGCATTAAGCATGGCAGGGACTGAGCTTTGACGCAGCTTGTTTGTGGAGGAGAGCAGGGAGGCGATGGGAAGCCTTTGGAGAGGAGACCCAGGTGAAGCAGAAGGCTGTGCCTGTAGGAGAGCTGGGGAAAGGGAGGTTGCATGTTTTCAGAGCTGAGAGAATGTGGCGTTAACTCATTGCAAGGTGCAAAGGATCTACCTGTGTGGTAAACAGATATCCTTACTGCTACATAGACTATACAAAACATGAGATGGAAGCTGGAGACCTGGACCCCGGGTGGTGGCAGCTCCTTGGTAACAAGTACCAGACAGGGCTGCATTGCTTCTGACCCTTGAGAGATCAGAAATTGCTTTTATTGTGAGCCAGAGGCAGGACAGGGAGCAGCAGCAGGCTTGTGGTTTGCTTAGGAGCCCTCCAAAGCTGGAAGGCTGGTGCCTGAGTGCCCAGCACAAAGTGGGTTATGCTGTAGTTGGCTTTAGCAGTGGGGCATGGAGGAGTGCTGGGGCTAGGGGGGCTGCCCTGCTGAAAACAGAGAGGTGAAGAGAGCATTGTGCAGGGTCTGCAGGGGCATAACCAAGAGGGTGAGAAGGGAGACAGGTCCTGGCAGAGGGAGCTGGGAGAATGAGGGGTGACGTGGACTCCTTTAGATAAGCTGCTCAGTGGGGTGGGAGATGGGGCAGGGGCCCACAGTTCATTATTCACCAGTGTTGTTGAATCACAGTGGATGAGAGGGAGAAACTAGTTTTGTGTGGAAATGTTCTCTTCATCAAATGGCTCCAAAGATGGTGTCAGGTCTAATTAACGAATGCAAGGCGGTTGCATTAAATGACACTTCCCAGCTGACCCTCCTCCTGTGAAATAGCTTTGTGTTGTCTCTTGCTCTATGGTCACACACCACTGGCTCTTCTGTTAGATGCATTTGTGTTTGTGCTGCTTGGTCCTCCTAGGTTTAATCTGTACCACCAGCTGTTAGAATCAAGCTCAAGAGTGATGCTATGGCAAGAGTTTTCCTGTGTAGTTTTGTTACCTTCTTGTGGGAAGTCTGAAGATCAGTATATACATTTTAATGCCATTAACTGTTACTGGACACAAAAGCAAGAAAGATGTGAGACAATCTGTGTCGGGTGTTTTCTGAGGGGTGATTCTGGCAGGGCTGGATCCGAGGTGCTCCTCGCGGTGTGTGTGATGTAGCCAGCCCTCCTCTGCTCTGTACTTTAACTGTGTAGTAACACCTGGAAGTTCATTGAGATACCAGAAGATCCCCTGCTTTGGACGGCTCTGACCTCTTGCAGCGCCTGTTTCCTCCCTCTGCCTGTATCAAACTGTTGTATTGATGGCCTTTGCTGATGCCTGTTCTCTCCTCCTACCTCTGTACTCACAGCCTTGCTGTGGGATGGCTGAGCTGCCCATCGCAGTGGCTGCATAGCATTGGGCATCTGATCAAAGGCTTAACAGGTAAGGTGGCAACTTGAAAAGACCAGTTGGGGTTCCAGGGAAAGCTCAAACTATTCTAGAAAGGAAATGACAACATGCAGATCTGGCAAAAGGCAGCCTGAGAACAGGGCTCTTGAGGTCCTTTATGTGATCATTCATCAGGGTATTTTGCCCTTTAAAGTTTCCTAAGTCATCTTGTAAAGACCAAGCCTTTAAGGGTGTTTTGGGTTGTTTTAAGAGTAAGCAGCTGTGATTTCCTGTGCACCAGCACACTCCTTGTGGCACCAAGTGAGCAGAAACATGCTTGTTCTTGGTCACTCTGCAAAGCTTATTACAATAGATGGTGCTTACCATGTTACTTTCATTTCTTTAATACTGGAAACCATTCACGTTAGTAATTTAAGTCCTAGGAGTAGCAAATAGATTAATGTGAAAGCAGCCTGGGTTGGAGCTGTTTATGCTCCACTAAAGAGGTCTAAGAAAACCAGATGTTGTTTTTATTTATTCTATGTGTATCTGCAAATCAAAGTATTATGGCCACTGGTTTACATCAAATACTTTATCTTCAGAGAATCCCTGTGTTAGAGGGAAATGCTACTAAGCATGTAAGGGATGGGGTTTTCCACAGTGATATTCTGATAAAAGGAGTGAACAGACTGTTGGACAGCCTATAGTCACCCTCAGCTGACCCTAGTCTTGGCAACAAGCAAGCTACTTCTAATGAAAAACTAATTTCAGCTGCATAAATAACTCTTATCAGCTGAAGTCAGGTAAGTCTGGAGCCATCTGGAGTGGAAATGCTGTTTGGACAGGGTTTGCTCATCATCTCCTGACCAGAGGCCCTGTGCTTGCTGCTTTGCCATGGGACTAAACCACAGTGGTTCTGAAGTGTCTTTTTTCTATGGATGCGCCAGTTTGACCCACCGAATATACAGGTTAATATTTACTTGAGGTAGTTTGAGACCCATCACATGGGGAGCAAGAGGATTCCTTCTGATGTGCCTGTTGCTGGAACAAAACAGAATTGATGCACTAAATACATAGAAAAAGCTGTTGGAAGGCAGTAGATCTTCCTCCTGCCCAAGAGTGAAACGACTAAGGAAGCTTAAATGGCAGGAGGGGTGATGTTGCTTAGCTCATGGAATCTCCATCCTACCATAATTAAATGCATTAACAATTCTTTTTAAGAGGAGGACAAGACAAAGCGCAGGACATTTCAGTTCTAGCTGGTCCTGCTGTGGTCAAATAGGAAGAATCAGGGGGTGTTGTTATGCCATTTGCGTGCCTGTTTCCTGCAGCCCTGTGGTGAAACACCCAGGTGGGCACCAGTCTCTGAATCACGGCTAAATTGGGAATTGTGTGTTTCACTGACCAAAACCCTTCACTTTGTAGCCTTACACCACTGAACAGCACCATTTAGTTATGGAAGGGAAACTTACTGTCATGTAGCAGCTCCTGTCAATGGCAGCAGCCCATGGATATTAAAACAACGATGAATCACTTCTACAACAAAGCAAGACTTAGAGAATTCCTGTTTGAGAAGGCCTCCTGCTGTCCCCTGCCCACCTGCACTGCAGCTGCACAGTGTGCTCCTGATCCCTCCAAGGTCTGGGTGATGGAGTCCCAAGATGCAGTTGTGGCTGTGCCCGGGCTGGAGCGGAACCACTTCATTTGTTGCCCTGCAGTTCTCAATATTGTGGGGGGTTTTAATTTATTTCTTTTAGAACAAAGGAATTCTGGAAATCACAGAATCCCAGACTGGTTTGTGTTGGAAGGGACCTTAAAGTTCATCCAGTTCCAACCCCTGCCACAGGCAGGGACACCTCCCACTAGAGCAGCTTGCTCCAAGCCCCTGTGTCCAACCTGGCCTTGAACACTGCCAGGGATGGGGCAGCCACAGCTTCTCTGGGCACCCTGTGCCAGCGCCTCAGCACCCTCACAGGGAAGAGCTTCTGCCCAAGAGCTCATCTCAGTCTCCCCTCTGGCAGGTTAAAGCCATTCCCCTTGGCCTGTCCCTACAGGCCCTTGTCCCAAGCCCCTCTCCAGGTTTCCTGCAGCCCCTTTAGGCACTGGAGCTGCTCTCAGGTCTCCCCTTCAGGAGCCTTCTCTTCTCCAGGCTGACCCAGCCCAGCTCTCTCAGCCTGGCTCCAGAGCAGAGCTGCTCCAGCCCTCGCAGCATCTCCATGGCCTCCTCTGGCCTCGGTACAGCTCCACATCCCTCTTGTGCTGTTGCCCCAGAGCTGAATCAGGATGCAGGGGGAGTCTCCCCAGAGCACAGCAGAGGGGTGCTGCCCAGTGTATGGTGGGGGGGGTCTGGGCTCAAGTGCACACTGAAGTGGGGTCATGGGGAGCTCTTCCTCTCCCAACATCCCCAAGTCCTTTTCCTTAGGGTTGTTCCATCCAGTCTCCCCCAGCCTGTGTTTTTCCTTGGGATTGCCTTAACCCAGATGCAGGACCCTGCACTTGGCCTTGCTGAACTCCAAAGGTTCACACAGGCCACTTCTGGGTGGCATTATTAAAATGCCTGTGTCACATAATCAAAGCTCCTACAGGATGCATCAAAATACCTGTGCCATACTTCGGATGAGTCCCCAGCCCAGCCCACCACCAGAGGCCCAGCCTCTAGGTAGCTCCTGGAGCAGGAAAGACACTGAACTGTTCATACCTGGTCACCTGCATTGCTCTGCTCTTGGAGACCTGTTTTAATGAAGCAGTATTTGCTTTCTTTTAGCCAGTAGCAGCCTGAAGTTCTGCCTTCTGCATAGAGCCTGCGGTGCTTGTATTCTTGTAAGGTTCACTGAACATGAATCAATCACAACAATCATTTGACTTCAACATTTTCAGGTAACCAAACTATGCTCATGTGTAATTGTAGCAGTAGATGGGGGTTTTAGCTGTTGGGTTTGATCCCTGTGGTTAGTGTTCTGTCTGAAATGATCAAGCAAAAGAATAAGCACACTGAGCATGTCTGTGAAGGTCACACCTGGCAGGTCTTTCCTCAAGCTGCCCATCTCTTGAGTGTTCTACATCATCCTGGCACCGTTATCACAAGTGACAGAAGTTAAGAACAGAGATTTGGGAACAGAACTTTAGCTGGTGCAAT